TGGATCTTGATATATTAGCTATGGATATAGAAGGGATCTTGAATAATGAAGCTAAAATGGTGATGGTGTAGATGATGAATAGTAATTATGGTGGCTAGGGTTTGTTGTAGGATGTTGGAGAAGAGGGGACAATTCTATTTATAGAAGGTGGGGAGCTTAGGGTTTTTTTGCTATTGGGCTTTAACATTGGGCTTAGGAATTGGGCCATAAAAATCGCTACATAATCGGGCTAGTAAAAAAAAATCCTACGCTTGGGCTCGATTTTAACATCGAATAAGGACTAGGAATTTTTAATGTCCGGTTAATAAAATTAGTCAAACTCGAACTAATTAAATTAATCGGTTAAATAAAATATGAGGCTTGTAGTAATAATTTTGACTTGGGCCGAAATTAAATATTGGGCCCAGAATAAAATACTACGAGGGCTCAATATTTAAAATATCGATTGGTCTTGAATATTAATTCGACTACTCGAATTAAAAAGGGCCGACTAAAATTATTAGATTCGCTCAAAATTAATTAAGCTCGAATAATTGAATTATTCGGCTTCGGATCACTTAAGTAAAAATTCCAACTTTAATAATTAAAGTCGGAAGAATTATTCATGGCTTAGACTTTAATTCTAATTATTTAATTTAATGCAAATAAATATAAATAATGCACTAGATTAAGAAACTTAATATTTATGGAAATATAGTCGAGCTCCATAAATAGTAAATAAAAATCTGGGCGTTACAATACCGTTCACGTTCTTTTTAAATTTCTTTTACTTTCTTAGGCATTCTTTTTAGGCATAATTAGAATATGCATACTTGGTGAATGTTAAAGCTATGATCTTGTTTCTTTGTGCGATGTGTGAATTATGGAACTATCTTCTATGTCTTTGAATGAGTAGTGCTTTCTATGGAGTGAGTTCGCGAGTTTGAAAAACTTGGGTGACTATGAGATTGACGTGCATTATGATTGTGAAATCTATATTTACGGTTTTGATATTAATGTGTTGATATAATTCCTATTGATTTTGGTTTGTCCGTAATGAGTCTCCATGCGTTTCATCTCTTTAGTCCATCTTTACTATTTTTTTGTTTCAAAATTTTATTGCTTGATGCGGTGCTTTACGTTAAGCCGTGCCCTCGTCTTAGAAATTTATGTTGCTGTTATGTGTGCCTTTCCCCTGCTTAGGATTTTTTTGGTTTATGTTATGTTTTTTTTCTCCCAGGTCTGTTTAGTTTTTATTTACAAAAAAA